CACACAGTATTTGTTCGAATCAAAATAACACGCTTTACTCAATGACTTTTATTTTGGAGGCCAACAGTTTCCGGTATTGACATGCGGTTCAAACTGATCATAGTTTAAATGAAATGTGTCTGTCAGCCAGAGTCAGGGGCATAGAAACGATAAGGAGTAAAGTAGGAGGGGAGAAAGAGCCGGAAGTGGCCTCCCTGTGGTGGTTCCACAGAAGTCACTTCTCCACACACACAGTTTAAATTAGTCCTGATAAGCCGGTCTGTTCATTAACTATTCTGGAAGTGTTGTCAGGCAACTGAGCTTCATGTTTACACACAGACCTGAGAGCCAACAGACTGTGTCCAGTTGTTTTTAACAGCTAAAAGTAGCCGTTTGGTATCAGTGTAAATATATGTGGGGTTGAGCTCTGCAGTGTGTTGAAGGTCTGTATGTGCTCAGGTGAGGAGGAAGCACCTGTCGTCACTTTTAGGGGCTGTGAAGGCTGAGAAGTTCATTCTTTTCTTCCTACTTGCAGAGTAAATATTAAATGGGTTCGAAAAAGAAGTACCACGACGAGTAAAGGCCACTATGATCAGGGCCCACTGGATTCTGTATTATGGCCTCACTTGGTCCATGAGCTTACCAACATCAGGATTCAAGATTCTTTCCAGTGATCCATTTTGCATTTCACCTTTTCAGATATAGACAAAGTGGTTGTGTGATCTGCATCAATTGCCATTGTTTCCAGTTTAAAAGTGCAGCATGCACGTTCCTCCCTTTTTGTAAGAACTTTCCCTGTGTGAGTCATTCAATGGCCTCCCATTCTTCAGGTGTGCAGTCTCTTACTGTTTGTCAGCGCTACGATCCATCTGCAGAGGCTGCAATCAGTCAACTTTTGTCCGCACAATAAAGTGATTTAATCTTTTATGGCATGAGCCAACCAAGCTCATGGAAATCCCCAGCTGTTAGATCCAATACTGGCAAATTTTTATTACATTATAATGACTGCTTCTTTCACGAAACCACCTAGCTATTAAAACAATGTAATAAAAATGTTACCGCCCAGAACTTATCTCCTTACATTGCTGTTTGGAAGGCTTTAGTTATTTATGTTTGTTGCGTTAATTAGAGTAGGATTATTTTGTACAGAATTAAAGGCAATTATTCAAAAAAGGTCTACTTATTTTTAATCCTGGTGGTTTTATTCTAGGGGCAGCACAGTGGTGCAACTGGTAGAGCTGCTGCCTCTCAGCGAGAAGGTCCTTGGCTCAAACCCCGGTCCAGGAGCCTTTCTGGGTGGAGTTTGCATGTTCTCTCCGTGCATGCGTGGGTTTTCTCTGGGTGCTCCGGTTTCCTCCCACAGACCAAAAACATGCATGTTAGGCTGATTGGTAACTCTAAATTGTCCCTAGGTGTGAGTGAGAGAGTGAATGGTTGTTTGTCTCGTTTGTCTCTATGTGGCCCTGTGATGGACTTGTGACCCGTCCAGGGTGTACCCCGCCCCTCGCACAGTGATTGCTGGACATGGGCACCAGCGACCCCCGTGACCCAAAATGGAATAAACGGGTAAAGATAATGGATGGATGGATGGATGGATGGATGGTTTTATTCTGGCTTTTCTGGTGAAGGCATGAAACACACTCTTACTGATTCCATGACAAGCCACATGTGAGGTCAAATAAACACATAATGTGGTTTGAATTCATGATGACGACACCAAAACTGCTGTTTTCTTTCTCTCTTCTCTAATCGCTCGAACAAGAAAGTTCAGAAACTAATTCCAAAAAACCAAATGAAACATGTGATGCAAATGACGAGATGCACTTTTACGGAGCATGTAATGCCAAGTTCAGTGATTTCCACGTAGAATGCAAATGTGTGCAAGTCATTAAGATGATGTAAACTCACTGCTGCTGCCATTGAGCCTCCAAAAGTTATATTTTTATTGTTATTTTTCTAATAAAGTAAAAAGCATCACTTGTGAATGTGTTTAGTAGAAGTTGATGGAGCAGGATTGAAGTGAGGTTTTTAACGTAGCGCTGCCCTCTGCTGCTGGGAGCAGTTATATGACATTATGAGCTCCTCATGTACAAAAGAACTATAATTAAAATATAAAATGGCCACAAATATAACCAGTTACTGAATCTACACAGACAGGATGAACTGTCTCCAGGTTGCTCCTCAGATGAGACACTGATTGTCTCTCTGTATGCTTCTACTTTTCTCTTGAAATGTAATTTCCATTTTTATATGCTTCCCTCAGAGCCATGAAATAAAACAATTGTCCGCTTTAATTTTTTTAATCTGCTGTCACATCGGCTGTGCTCCATCCTTTTTATCATCTAAACTAAAAAGAACTCAATAACATCCAAAAGGTAGGTGACAAAACCCAAATCTATTTCAACGGATCATTTTACCTCTGAAACAACAAGTGGGGATTTATTTGTAACAAGAGTCAGTACAAAATGCAGACGTCTGTGTTTGAGGTTGTTGGACGAGATTTATTTATTTAATTATTTAAAAATGTCAGATGAGAGTCTCTTTTTTTGTATCAGACTCTCGATTATGTTATTAATAAGG